CAGGCCAAGAGCGTTTACTTGACGCATTCAACAGGTACAGCTGTCCAAATCAAACACATCAAACCGTTTGAGAAACGAATGGAGGTCCTATCGCACTAGAATCAGAACGATCAGGTCAGGTCTGTTGTTGAAACACCGAACAGTGTAGCCGTTTTATACACGTGGGAAAAAGAAACTCCTCGACCAACCACAGAGCATTGAATGCATCTTCTGCGAAACCGTGAATGTTAGTTGGAAAGAAGGAACGTTGGAAAGCTGATGTCAGAAGAGCAGGCACATGTACATGTACGTACAAGGAAATTGCTGCTTTACAGGGGATTGCAATTTTGTATTCCGAGGTTCCCACGTAACCATTGTACTTGTGGCACATTGAAGTGTACAGAAGGGTGTACATTGTGTCAAAACCCTGCTTCTGAGAGTGTCGCACGCATAGAACTTATATGGGTCCGAAACAGGAAGTGTTGTGTGCTATGACTTAACAACTTCAGAATCTTTAATCGAGTTGTAACTTCAGAATCTTTAATCGAGTTGTATCCTTTCATTTGTATATATTGGGAACATATGACAGCATCATTTTTGTTGTGACTCCCCGAAGAATCGTAACACCCTTTGTTTATGCGAGTTCCCGAATCCAGCCTTTTTCAAAGGACGGATTCCCCGCCGTCCCTTTGGTTTGGCGAGGCCCAAGGGGGTACAGAAGGGCAGATTCCAAATGTTATCCAACCACCTTGGCCATTGGCGAGATGCGTGCAATTCCACAAACACGGTCTATCGGCGCAGCGTGGAATGAAGGAAAGCAAGAGGGTTTGGTCTGGTCGGGTTACGGTCAAAAGAAATCTCGAACAGGATTCGCGGGAGGAGGAGGCAGGCGTGCGCTTCAACTGTACACCCTGTTTTGCGCCACACTGAAATTCGCCATATTGACAGGCCGGTTGTACTGACATCAATGCGTCCAAATTGGTCCCAGAACATACCGTATAAGCACTTTTGCCGCACGAAACCAAACTCAAAAGCACGTTTATTTTCATAAACCGTTGTCTACCGTTCTCCTGAAGTGCATTTCGGTTGCAAGCACCAGCCCGCTGAATCCAAGCACACGTGCGCACTGTAACCGGGGCTCCCGACTGTTCAAACATCGAGAAACAGGGTGTACAACTCCTCTGAAGTTCTTGATGTGGAAATTCGCCCCGCCATCTTCCAAGCTGAGGACTTGCTGCCAGCTGTCGCATATACACACACCTACCCACTTGCCACCCTTCTTGGATCATCTACAGTGAGAAATCTCTGCACGCGAGGAGGAAAACGACGAGCATAGATTACTGTGCATCAACATGCTCGCCAGCAGCATTGTACCCTCGGCTGCTTTGGCTCGTTTGCTGAGTGGTCCTGTCATCAAATCTCCACGATTTTTTTACCAACACAGACCCGATTTTCTCGACCATATTTTCCCACACAGAATCCCCTTCATGCGCTCTCCAGATCGAACAAAGCTTGTAGTTTTTTATGGCTCTTGTAAAGAGAGAATCATTCTTTCCTTGTTCCGGGACAACAGCATCTGTCCAAATTCTTCCCAAAAGTGTACACCTTCCCAGTGCTGGATTGGGCAGATGGGATGGGGGGGAGAGGGAAGAGGGGGTACAGGCAGAGTTGGCAGAACCGGAACTGAGAAGCGTATCATCCTTCACCACCGCTCCTTGATGCCTCCTCAGCATGCTGAGATCACACTGACCACGTATTGATATGTCCCCCAATGCCCCCCTCAGCTTTGAAAGGCCGTCATCTCATCAGTTCCAAGTTTTTCTCTAACTAGTAGTACAAGTAAAGTTCTGCACCTTTTCGAGCCCATCTTATTGTTAGTAGAGAAAGACAGGCTCTTCAAACATAAAATGAGTACCTAAACTTTTCGAGCGAGTCGCAGCGTCGATTTGTTGGGTTGTATTGAAGTTTGCTGTGCAACGCGGGCCGCCGTGTGAAGACCTCCAGTTTTCAACTATCGCGCCGCGCGGCGCGCTTGGACTTCAGAACTCGACACTTCTTGTGTCGTCACCCTTCAAGGGTGAAAGTTTCAACGAGCACGCGCCATCAGAAGTTTTGCCAGACGATTTTGCAGCGTCGAGTTCTGTTGATCTTGCTAATTAGCAATGAGCGCCAACAAATCGCCCAGTGCATCATCCTCAAACTGGAGCCACAAGCAGGAAGCCCTTCCAGGAAGCCTTGATTCTGAGCAGGGACTCCCTCGTTCAATGACAAGTTATCATCCACGGACGACAGATCTTTTGAAGCCTCCACTCCATCATGGTGCCATCGTGGCTCCGGACGACAGAGTGACTCTGGACCTCACGCTGCAGTCTGGTGCTGCTGGGGCTGCTGCTACAGCCACTACAACGGCAAATATTACCAACAACGACGTCAGCAGGCTGCAGAGCTTTAAGGTGGCTCCGATCTTTCCTGCGACACATTCCGGGAAGTTTCCTGATTCTACTGCTGCTTCCTCTGCCTTTGCCGCGCGTGGCGACGGTATGGAAGGTGTAACGATGATGAGAGCTGAAATTACTAGTGCTGATCTTGTCAGGGCCACTCTGGCACCTGCTGACGTGGCGATAGTACGGAGGAACTTCGCTAGGGATTCGCTACTGTCACAGCTGGAGAAGCTGGAGGCGGAATGGACAGCAGGCAGCAAAACAGAGACACCGCGTTACAGTCACATAATGTTGGAAGGTGATGATGGTTCTGCGCAGGGAAATCATCATATGATGGACATGCCGTCTTGCGTGCCGCCAGGACATGTCAGCCGCGGGCCAACACGGTGGGGTGTTGGCCGAATCGACGCACCACGAAATGACTTCCACACGCTGGCAGAGCCGCACGTCCACAATGGGGCGGCAGGGCTCGTCCAAGGTAGAGATGCAGGGTATGCCATAGACCCATCAGCTCATGACATGATGCAAGGCGTTTCCACCCACCAGCTGCTAAACAGTCCACCGGGAGCGCCTTTGCCGACAGGTTTCACGGCCAGCGCTTTCATCCCTCGCATCCAATCCTTCTCATCTCCCAAAAAAGATTCGCAGGCAGGAGCATCCGCATCCCTCCATCGGCCTGCCATATGGCAAGCACAGTTCATTCCCTTTGCTGTCGCTCTCCCAGCAGCAGGAGCAACAGCAGCAGCAGCGGCGGCAGGAGCAGCGGCAGGAGCAACAGCAGCAGCAGCAACAGCAGCAGTAGCAACAGGAGCAACAGCAACGACGGCAGCAGCATTGGAAGAAACACCAAAGGCAATGGAGACAGCAACGGTAACTGCAGCAGCAAAGGCAGCAGCAACACTAATCTGTTCGCATCCCAACACGTCACCGAAATTTCGCAAATCCAGCTCTACAGTTGCCAGGCCTGCCATAGCTGAATCATCTGCCGAGGACTCTTCAACTGAGCGTCCTTCACACTCCTCGCCCATGGTTATATCTTCCAGCAGCTCGCCATTTGTTTTGGTCGGAAGTCGGGTGATCGTTCCAAGGAGTGCATGGGCTCAGACGATGGTGGTAAACCACATTGATCAGGTGCAGGGAAATAAGAAGGGTAAACGCAGGAGTGGCGCCATGTCTGCAGAGGTGATTCACAATAAGGAGGGGCCGACTTCGGGGGCGCCTTCTAATCGGGCTGTCAGGAAGAAAAGTTATTCTCCATCAAAAGCAGAGGCGATCTCAAGTAAGGAAGCAGAACTTGTTTCCAAATGCTTGCAAGAAGCTATAGTAGGAAAGATTGATAGAAGCGATGAGCTCCATGAAGTAGAGAATGCAGAAATGGACGGTTCTTTTGGTAAGTCATTGGAAACAGGTAAGGATGACGCAGAGCAGAAGAAAAACATTGGTATAGTTCTTTTTGGGAAGCGAATAGATATGGATGTTGTACATCATAAACCATATTAACTCTTTTGCTTTTGATGGCTTTAAAGTACCCCACTTGAGTAACATCTGTAGTGTAATCGTGTTTCGCTTTGGCCTCGTAGCCAAATCAGGTTCCGCCTCGGACGTTTTGCGATAGGGACGGAATGTTGCGAATGACAACGACAATCGTCAGTGGCTTGTCCCGACTTGACGACTTCACGACGCGTGAGGTGGCAGCACATCTTCGCCTACGGATTCTCGTAATCCATCTGTTTTGGTCGCATGGGTGTCGTTGTGCGACTGTTTTTGGGTCTGATCTGTGTTTTCCCTCCAAAACTTATATCGGTGTGAAGGAAGTATGGACTTGCCTTTTCATTGACAATGCCTTCTTATTTCTGTTTAGATTCCACGTCGCGTCCTCGCCTTTTTCTATCGCCGCCGGTCACTGCTTTGGCTTTCAAGTGTGAATTCGCCGATTATACGTCGTCACGCCACTAGCATGTCGATGTTCCGGTCGCCAGGAAGTTGTTTACCAACCTGGTTCCAGTGACCATCTCTCAATCGTCAGCTTTTCTTTGCTTGACACAACTAGTAAGAGTCTATAACAGTTACTGTCTGCTTACGATGCGTATCCACGGCGAGATTGCAACAAACGTTAAGCTACTGGCCGCTTCAGGATTCAGCTCTCGCCTGCTGGAAGGCGAGCTCGCGGACAGGTCGGCGAGAAATTCAGAAGCGGAGAATCTGTTAAAGGAGAAGTTGTTAGCGAAGCAGATAGCTATCCTGTTTAACGGAGACGACGTGCGGCCTGTGCGACGCGTGCGATGCAGCGAGCGTCTAAGGCGACAGTGGACGTGTTTGGCCAGACACACCCGGCCGTTCCCAACGAGATTATTGCGTGTTACCACTGTGGTTACACTGTAACAGCCGGAAGATTTGCCTTCCATCTGCAGAAATGCCTCGGGAAGGTACGCTCTCTTTCCAGATCGAGGACCTCTCCTTTTCATGGATTCAGTTATCAAGCGGCGTTACGTATTAACGTTTTTTCCATTGTTCCAGTCTGCATGAAAATGTCAAAGACTGAAGGATAACCAAGAGCGAAAATAAGTCAACGAGTGAAGAATGTCATCGATTACCATGGCTTACGTGGTTTTCGCCTCTCTCCTTTTCGTCCCTACTGCTCCTCTCCTCGCTTTCCTTGCGCAGGGTCGTTTGGCATCCCAAAGAACCGCTCTCAACCTCGCTCGGACTCCCAGCCCGCAGCCTCAGCAGATTGTACAAAGGCGTTCTCAGCAGACGGTGCCGAGACGTCCCTCCGTATCAAATCTACAGCAGCAGCAGGATCAGCAGCAGGAGCAGGAGCAGGGCCAGCAGCAGCAGCAGCAGCAGCCGGCACAGCAGAGAGGGGAATCGGATCAAGGCGAGAGGGCAGGGAGACGGGTTGGCCGGAAGCCTAAGAGGACGGTGATTGGACCAAGAACGGCCAGTGGAAGATTCGCAAAAAAAACACCTCCCACAGAAAGTCCTTTGAAAGTTACACCCCCTAGAGCAACCCCTCCCCGAGTAACATCCCCCCAGATAACACCTCCCCGGGTTACACCTCCTCGGCTGACACCTCCCCGAGCCATGCCACCAAGGTTGACGGCGCCTCTAGAAAGAGAAGCAGCTGCACGGTTGAGAGAGGGAGAGGACGGAGGAGAGGATGGAGGAGACGAGGCACGTGGAGATGGGGATAGAGGAGAGAGTGGAGCAGACGCAGCGTGTGTTGAAGAAGCAGTGAAAGCAGAAGAGGTGGCGAATGCAGCAGGAAGCGTGGGAGCGGAGAGGAGGAGGAGGAATAAGCCGGAAGAAGGCGGGTCGATGGTGGTGACTCTGAGACTGAGAGGCGGTCGACAGGAGAGACAAGGTGCTGTTGCTCCTAGGATTCAGATTCTGCAGCAGCAGCCGCTGCAGCAGCAGGAGTGGCAGCAGCAGCAGCAGCAGCGGCAGGAGCGGCAGGAGCGACAGGCGCAATGTGGGTTGCAGGAGCAGACGCAGCAAACAGAGCCTGGTTCGTTGTCTGGGGTGGACGTGTCAGGGCTCCAGGCGATAGGGGCGAAGCGGAAGCGGGAAGGGAGGCGGAAGGGCCGCGGGGAGGAGGCGCATGGGGAATTTGAGCGCAGGGTTGAGGGGAGTGTTGAGGTGACAGTTGAGGGGTCATGTCCAAGTGAGGCAGAAGGTATGCGTGGGGAAGGGGAGGGGAAAGAGGGAGGGGGCGTTTGTGCTGGTATTGCTCCTGCTGCCCCTCCTGCTGCCCCTCCTGTTGCCCCTCCTGCTGCCAAGCCTGCTGCCGCTCTCCCGTCCACTCTCCCAGACCCCTCCCTCCTTGGGGATTCGCCAGCAGCCGCGGCAAGGAGAAGGCAGCAGCAGAGACGGCAGCAGCAGCTTCAGGAGGAGCGGTATACTGTACTTGAAGCAGACTGTAACGAGGATGAGAAGCTTTCTAGAAGCGCTGACGTCGGGACTAGGGCGGCTGAGGTTGGTAGGGACGGGAAAGCAGGTGCAAACCTTGATGTGGGAGTTGAGTTGGATGAAGGCGGGGGTGATAGTTCATTTGAAGGGGAACAAAGGCAGCAGAGGCAGCATAGGAAGCAACGGGAGCATAGGAAGCAGAGGGAGCAGCGGGAGCAGAGGGAGATGGTGATTCATGAAGAGCAAATGGGGGATCCTTGGGAGTTGGAAGCGGGTGAAGGGACGCTCTTACCTGCAGGCAATAGGGAGAAGCAGGGGCAGGAAGAGAAGCCGAAGCATGCTCGCAAAAGGGAGAAAGAGGAGGGGGGGGAGAAAAGGGAGAGGAAAGAAAAGGGGAGGAAAAGGCGAGTTAGTGAAGAAGATGTGATAGGGCGGAAGCGAGGAAGGGGCATGGAGGAGGCGTCGATTGTGGTGAGAGGGAGGGCTGGAGGGGCAGCAGGAGAAGGGGTGGAGGAGGGAAGGGAGGCAAGAGATGCAGAAGAGGCGAAGGGGGAGGCGAGAATGACCAGGAGCAGGGCTGCCAGAGCAGATGTGAGCTCTGGTAATGGAGCAGGGACAGGGGCTGGGGCTGCGGCAGGTGTTGGGATTGGAGCTGAGGCAGGGGTAGGGGCAGGAGCAAGGGGAGAAGAAGGAGCAGGTTTAGGATCATGGGATGGGGAAGCTGAAAGGTAATCTCAGCAGGAGCAGGTGAGGGAGGAGTGCGAAGTGGCAATGAGAAGAGAGTGGTACGAGGGAGCGGTGAACGGCGGAATGAGGTTTCAAGGTTTACGATACGCGGAAAAGCACAGGATTGTGACGATCTGACGCTAGCACAGCTCCAGCAGCAGCACCATCAGATGCAGCAGCATCAGCCGCAGCAGCAGCAGCAGCAGCAGCACGATCCAAAGGCACAGCAGCAGCAGAAGCGTGTGAATCATTCTGCAACTGTGTCCCCATACATAGCAGCATCCCCAGGGCGACCACCTCGGTCAATTCAGTCAACACAAGTCAACAGCCAACGGGTCCAGCACAGCTCAGTCGATATTTCTCCGTTCAGTTCTGAGTCAGCTGGCAGTCCAGCCAGGTCACTGAAACCAGCTGGCGTCTCTGCCACGTCATCAGCTGCTAGGACACAGCCAATCACGCAAGCCCAGCTCAGCTCAAGAGCCAGAATGCATGTATCTTCTGCAGCAGCACTCGCCATCGGCACAGCAATACCCGCAACAGGCACTGTACCAGCACCCGATCAAATCCGCACAACAGTCCCTGCTCCCAGTACAGTCTATAGAGAGGGCTTTGCCAGTCAAGCTGTCGGATCAGATCTGAAGGTTGTTCGCCCCACCGAACCAGTCACAGACGCTCCTCCCCAAGCCACAGTTGCATCCTCGCTCAAACCGGCAGGCGTATCAGCTTCAACCATCAAGCAGGCCGTAAGAGCAGCTGTGATCTCTTCTCCCATCACAGAAAGGCACAGCCCATGCCGCGATATGGGTGCATGGCCCTTGCATGATCTGGATTTGATTGTTCCTGCCAGGAGGCAGCGGAGCAAGGCAAAGTCGCAGCTGTCGCCTGTGAACGGAGGGGTTGCTTCGGTAACAGCTGTAGCAGCCGTAGCACCGGTTCCATCCCAGTCACCGTCGTCGTCCCCATTGTCATCTCCAGACGTATTTGCAACAGGAACAGCAACTGCAGGAGCAGCAGCAGCAACATCAGACGTGGCAGCAACAGAAGCAGCAGGGTTGACTGAAGCAGGTGGAGAAGCCGCGGCAGTTTTGACTCCCGCGGTAGAGTGCCAGAGGAATGCACGCGGAACGCAATCCGGAGCAGAAAGCATTACACACTCCCCGCTCCCCTCCGAGTTTCACACGCCACAGCCCCATCCTTCTCGTGGTTTCTTCTCCCCGCCTCATTCGTCCTCTGTGAACTCGGGGGGTTCAAGTGTTTGGTTGCTTGGGGACGAGGGCGAGAAAGGAGGAAGAGAGACACCGGTTGGGGAGATTTCAGGGGGGGAAACAGGAGATGGTGGTAAAGTCGCAAGAGTTGGATTAGGAGGTGCTGCAAAGTCTGTTGCTTGGATGAGCCAACACGGGCCTTTTGAAGCTGTGCCGAGGAATGGTGGAGTAGTAGCAGTGGAAGGGGACGAGTGTGATACAGCTGTGAGGGGTTACAATGCAGAGCAGCCCTCCTTAGTAGGCGAAATGCAAGTGTTCCGGTGAAAAAGGTTAGGACAAAGAGACTTCCAGGTTCTTAGGAAGGACCAGTGTCCATTGCTATCTAGGAAGTGTAGTGGAAGGTGAGTGTGATGTGTAAGGACGCGGCACCTGTTTTCATTCTACAAGGATTGTGGCCTCACATCGATCCTGGCATATCGATCGGCACACCGATGTGCCCACACTGCAAATTTGTAGTGGGGTAGACACATCGAGCTATAGGTGCCAGGATCGAAATTGCAGGCTCGGGCAGGTTGGGCCTGCCATTACACTTAAACGCGCAGCCAATCAGGGCAGAGCGTGGATGGTCGTCCAGCAATTCCATTCGCAGTGACTCAAGATTTTTTGGCCTGCGACCGTGGGCGACGACGATCGATCGAGGCTGTCACCTGTGGCGCGATATGCTCTCCGCCAGCCCTAACGCATGCACCACGGCCACATCGATCGTGCGAGCTGCAGGTGCCACCAATTTGGGTACCTGTTTACTGTACATTCTCGACGTGCAGCGAAAAACGGATACCAGGCATTGGCGATGTCGCCAATACACTGTACAGGCGGCACATCGATCCCCTCCCACGATCCATCCTGGCAAAATGAAAAGAGGTGCCGCGTCCTAAGTTGTCCACATGAAATCTTGGAGCTCTCGTACATAACCTAATATCATTTTTAAAGACAGCGCTGACAGCCATGCTTTGTTCACCGACCTAAAGAGCTTCAGCAGCCCTTGGATGCCACAAATCCCCCAAGCCTTTCAGTCCAAGCCCTCCATCGTATCTCACTGGTTGTTTGAGATCCACGGGAAACCCATAGGTTTGTTAGGACGCGTCACCTGAACGACGATCGTGCAAAAACCGATCCTTGACCGTACTGGAAACCTGCGTATTGCATTCAAAAGTTCTAGACATTTTTTGAACCACGAAAATTTTCGATCCTACGTAGGATCGATCGCAGGATCGGCGTTCAGGTGACGCGTCCTTAGGACGTGGCACCTGTTTTCAAATGGCACGTCGGAGGAGGTTCGGGGCCTCACATCCATCCTGCCACGATCGAAGGGCACACTGGTGTGCCCAACTACTTTTTGCGATCGCCTGGACACACCGAGCCTCAGGTGACACGATCTTAAATTACTGGGGCAAAATTGCCCCGATCTCCACAATTACACGATCGATGTGAGGGCGCAGACACATCGACCTTGCGAGCCACAGGTGACACCTTTTTGCTGACATATCTGCTGTACATAGACGAAAATATGCGACAAGGGATACCAACCTTGGCAGAGTCGTCAGAATATTGTTCACCCGACACATCGATCCCCGCGAGGATCGATCGTGACAATTTGAAAACAGGTACCGCGTCTCAGGGACGTGTACAGTTACTGTAAGTGCATGAGGTGTCTCGTGTACAAAATGCGCGGCAGCCCCT